ATATGATGAGCCTGATGTTAGAAAACCAATAAAGGTCTCCTGCAGAGGTGGAGACGATAGGACAATCTCCTACATATGAGACACAGTATCTATCAGCTCATGAAGAGAAATGAGCTGAAAATGGCTGAGCAGTTCGGGAAAACATAGAAGCACTGTGTTCATTTAGGATTCAGGAACCTATAGTACTGCTGGGGTGTTCTGGGGCAGCATGGAGCACACTTGATACAAAGGTGATCTGAGGTTGAAAACATCTTCAAAGACCAAAGAATGTTTGCTTAGACCAAGCATAAAAACTAAATCTAATGTATGACCATGGTTATGAGTTGGGCCAGACACATGCTGGACTAGATTAAATGACTGTGAGTTTTAAAAAATCTGTTGCAAATCCTCATCATCAATGTGGATATTAAAATCACCAGCAATAATAACTTGGTCAAATTTTAAAACAACAAAAGATAGGAGTTCAGAAAATTCACGTGCAAAGCTAGCTAGGTCTAGGTGGGCGATAAATTATAAGGCAGAGGACAGGTATAGTGGCACAGGTTTTAAACACAGAGGCAAGACTTGAGAATGTATCTGTAGTAATGCGTCGACTACTAAATTGTTTAAATGTTTTAAAAGCAGCAGCTAGGCCACCAACCCGGCTACTGTCCCTGGGAGAGCTCAAATAGTCGTAGTGAGGAGGACAGAGTCTCAGAAAAAGTCAGTAAATCATGAAATTATTAGAGGAAATAAAAACATTCAACATAAAACCTATTAGACAGAGATCTTATATTTAGATGAGCCAGCTGAGGGAGTGATCTGGACAGGTATTAAATGCTGAATCCCGCGTGCTGTGTTAGTACAATAATTGAAGGGCCTATTATTAACAAGTATGGGATTGAGCTGGTACTGGGCTTAAGACACAATCACAACAGGAATGGGCAACACAGTTGGCCGTTCTGGGCTGTTACAGTGAGTACTGACCACCGCTAGTGTAAGACAGCCACATGCGGGTTCCTGTCCTCCTGAACAGCAGCAATTTGATCACATTCACTTCCCGGATTGGCACGTCCTAAGTACTGTATTACAACTACTTCTTCTCTGTGTGCAGCACATCCTGCGCGTACTGCAGCTCTCAACTGATGCAACATGGCGAGTCACTGCTGGTGCCTGCAGCGCTTTATTAAGGGTTTACTGACAGCTGTTAAAGTCAAGAAATCAAATAATTCTTAAATAACCAAATTTTAGGGATCTCTGCAACAAAAATGCAAAAGCTGATTTATCTTTATTGAATCTTTGTGCTGTGTAGAATATCAAGTATCAGTCGAGCTGCAGTCTGATGAATTATTAGACAAATGCAAACAGTTTGAGTAACCGCAGAACCCTGGCTTAGGTGTTATATACGTCAATTTGGAGGGGAGGTTCTGTTCATTAATACATAATGAAAATTACAGGATCGGGTTATGCTACAGAACCAGACAGCTGGCTGTAAATCCTCTGTTGTCTGTCCTCTGTCAGGTGAGGCAAAGCCGCCGGCTTCCCAGCGCTTTACAGCAGATCTACTTTTTAATTTATGCTCTCAGCGGTGCGAAGGCTGACTCAGGCTCTGCAGATGGCAACAACTAACTGGCTGACACTTGACAAACACTTGAGATGCACAGAGGTTTACAATTTGCCTCCAAGAGGGGACCCAAATGCATGTGTTCCCCCTCAGGCCTCAGTGTGTGATATCTGCTTCCACTGCCGGCACCGTGAAACATGTTATTTCCCACCTGCTCGTCATGTCATCAGCGCTCGCTCGTTGTCTGTAAGGTGGAGAGAAACTAATCCCTAATAACCAATGAAGCAATCTGATGACGCATGAAACGCTCCCTTAATTAGCAATTAGCAGCCTAATTCTCTATGAAATATTTAGCCCTCGGTCGCACTTCAACACGCCTTCTTAAAATAAAGCCCGGGAGTCATGGTTCAGGCTTC